TAAACAATCAATCGTTAGTCAATTACAGGTCAGTCACAACATTACCCACCTGATCGGTTAGTCAATTACAGGTTGGCCACAAGCATAGAAATTGTTTCGTAAATGTAAGTATACACAAACCAARTCCGGCAATCAGGACTCGACTTTTGAAGCAAATATCTATCCATATATTATGAGAATATGTGGACCGCATAGCAGTTATGAAATACAAGATATAGAAATATAGATAAGTTATAGTGCTTGGGAACGAGGTTATTCCGTGCGAAAGATCCTTGGAAATAAATTTGGAAAAATTAATTTCCGACCTCGCTGGGAAATGAACCCACGACCTTCGGAATTGTACTACCAATGCTCTAGCAGCTGAGCTAGATGTCAAACTGAGAGCAGGCTGGGGTGAAATTGATGTTTGGTCGCGGTAATTATGATGCAAAGATGAGAATACGTGGACCGCTATATGTGGAAAGTTACGTAGTTAGGGATCACGTTCTTGGCAGCTCCAGCGCATTCATCATAGTAAGATTTAATCTTGTAAAATCAGTAAGCCCTGTCTCACAATGTTTTCAATATTTTTCATAATGGCTCTCTCCATGGATCCTGTAAAGTCAAATGTAAGAAAAATAGGAAATATGATATAACACAATTTAAAGCTGTTTAAAAATAATTTTGTAACCTATGAATAATGATTTGATTCCGCTTTAAAAAAAAAGTTGAAATCTCCATTGTTACGTAAAGTGAATACTAAAGAATGAGTTGCAGTTAGTACCAGTTTTTATTACTTACCAGAGAATGATGCCACTTATTATTCCTTTCAATTGCAGTTTTTGCTGCCCAGGTTTTTCCTTAATAGTGATTCTAGGAAAATCTCTAGACACTTCTGTGCCATAATCAGCTATAGCAGCATTTAAATCATCTAGACTACCAATACGGTATGCAAATAAACCAACAGCACCAATAATTTGTTCAAGGTTTCTGTGCAAACAAGAAGTGCAAACAATGAAGTGCAAACAAGTTTGTGGCTTAGATTCTCCTCAAGTAGAAATGTAATATCATCTTTTAAAGCACTCTTTCTGCAAAACATTTTAATGTAATAAATGTTTGTTAAAAATAGAGTTTACCCTAGATTTGCTTTTTTTTTAGAATGAAGAATTGATTTAAAACTGGACAAGGCACATTTCAAAATCACTCTTTTCACTTTATTTTGGTGGTTGAGAAGGTGAAAACGTGTATCATTGTTGAAGAACGGCTCAGGGAGAGTAACAAAGCAAGAGCTCGAAGATAAAGACACGTGCAATATCACATGAATGAAAAAGGTGCAAAACTGACTAAAACAGTAGTGATTGATGAGGAATAGAGCGTCTATTAGCGATACAATGAAAGTTCGTTCACAATGTTTTATTACTTCCGTTCATTGTTCATGTCAAGTCTCATGTGTAATACCTCGTACTAGTTTGTATTAATGATCCTTTTACATGCGCTAATATTTATTTCACAGCTTTATGAAAAACCACTCCATCATCAAGTCAATAATAAGATAATACATCGTAGAAAAATACAACACATTATGAGTTTAAACGAACCAAATTACTTTGACAAAATTGTTTCCACACTGTTAGATAGAATTTACTAAAATGGAATTCTCCACAATCAGATTACAATGGTTTTCAAGCTTTCTTGTTTCTTTCTATTGACAGCTGTAAATCTGCAATATATTTGTTACAACACTGATATATAGAATATATGCATATATAGAATATATTCATTCATTTAAAGTCTTTAAATGTTTCCTAAACATTCTTGTTTCTTTGAAAGTCTCATCTCATTCTCTCGGCAGATGTAAATGTAAAATAAAGTTAGAATTGTGTAATAGCTAACTTAGTTGTGAGAAAGTTCTGGCATTTGGTCTTTGAACGTTTTTTCAAAAAAAAAACCAAACTATTTTATAAACGTCTTAAGCAAAAAGTAATTACTATACATTCAGCATTGTTTCTATGGTCATAAATATCCGAGGTTGCAATTAGCCATTTCATATTTTGTGGTAACTCCATGACCAGGGCATCAAGAACTGTTTCTCTAATGAATTCGAAAGTCTAATATTATTTGTATGATAGTTATTTGCAGTTGTCTTGGCCAATCAAAACGACTGGAAAAATAATTTGGTCATGATCGCTATCATGTTGCTCAAAACACGCACAGTTTTTTTAGTACGAAAACTAGTTGTAAAAGACAACATTTCGCTGTCATATATAGCTAAAGGAAGTGTGAAAGTTCAATGAATAACAATAAATGAAATGAAATAAATCAAGGGGAAAAATGACAATAAGAGCGCATGACAATGAAGTAAATCAAGTGAGAAAATGGCAAAACACGAAGAAGAAGAAGAAGAAGAAAGAAAGAAAATCAAAAATTAAATGAGTTTCATTTTATTCTCAATACTTGAACATCAGAGTTCCAAATTTTTTTAAATGGTATTTTTGCTTTATTATTAATAACTTTTATTCCGTCTAACATCAATTAAGTGTTCAGGTTGAAAAAAGCAACAACGATCTGAGTGAATCAGCACACGAAGACTATATCTCATTGGAAGGGAAGCACATTGAACTAAGTTAAACGACACCCTTAAGAAGCATAATGGTAGTGCAACATATGTATTGCTGCATGTTACCCAACACGCGTAGGTTCAAACCAGTGTCGTTTGAATCGTCATATCTGCTATACAGCTGATCAAGTTGGATTTTTTATGTTTGGAGTCAAATAACGGTCTTGGACGATATCGTCAACCTCCTCGCTGAGGGATTGGTGCATGTATATGAGATTCCAACACTTTTCTTGTTGATGCATCCAGACTCTTTAGAGCATTAAGAGCGTATGTCTGTAGGCGTCGAGAATCTTAAATCAGTTTCAAAAAATCGAATTTCTTTTTATTGTACCAAAACAACACTTTGGGTAAGTTGTTTTAGGAAATAATATCAA